ATTTTAAAATCTGAATAAAAATAGTATAGCCATTTTGGAATAGAGTTTGGCAGTTTTTTTTATAAACTTAAAATACATTAGAAGAAAATAGAGTACATCTCTAGGACCTTAAATTAGACAATGGTTACTTAAATATAACACCAAAAGCATGGGCAGCAAAAGAAAAAAAAAAAAAAACAGATGAATTGAACTTGATCAAAATTAAAACTTTTTTGCTTCAAAGGACATTATGAAAATGAGAAGACAATCCACAGAATGGGGGAAAATATTTTCAAGTCATATATATGATAAGGGTTTAATATCCAGAATATGTAAGAAAATCCTACAACTCAACAACAGAAACAAAGTCCAGTTTTTAAAATGGGAAAAGGATTTGAACATTTATCCAAAGAAGATATACAAATGGCCAATAACCACAAGATGCTGAACATCATTAGTCGTCAGGGAAAGGCTTTAAGTAGACATTTATCCAAAGAAGATATACAAATGCCCAATAATGACAAGATGCTCAACATCATTAGTCATTACGGAAACACAAACCAAAACCACAATGAGTAATACTTCACACCCAGTGAGATTGCTATTATAAAAAAGACAATAACAAGTACTGACAAGGATATGGATAAATTGAAACCCTCATATAGAGCTGATGGGAGGTGAAGATTGGAGCAGCCACTTTGGAAAACAGTTTGCCAGTTCAAAAAGTTAAACAAAGAATTGTCAGAAGACCCTGATATTCCACTACTAGGTACACACCCAAAAGAAATGAAAATATATGTCCATACAAAAACTTATACATAAATGTTCAGTAGAGCACTATTTATAATAATCCCAAAACAGAAGTAACCCAACTATCCATCAACTGATGAATGGATAAATAAAATGTGGTATATCCATACAATGGAATATTATTCACCCATAATAAGGAATGAAGAACTAACACATGCTACAATATGAATAAACCTTGAAAATATTATGGTAAATGAAAGAAGCCATTCACAAGGGACCACATAATGTATGATTCCATTTATATGAAATGATCTGAATAAGCAAATCACAGAAACCCAGAGGTAGGAGGGAGGGGAAAATGGGGTGTGATTAATGGGTACAGTGTTTTTTATGGGGAGGGTGAAGAAAATGTTCTGGAATTAGATAGTGGTGATAGTTGTACAATTTTGTAAATATACAAAATGCCACTGCATTGTACAATTAAAAAGGGTAATTTTTATGGTATTTAAATTATACTTCAATCCTGTTTTTTAAAAAATGTTAAACATACATCTACCATATACCTGAGCAATCCCATTCCTAGTATATTCCCAAGAAACAAGAACATATGTCTACACAAACATCTATATGCAAATACTTATAATAGCTTTATTCACAATTGTCATAAATGTGAAACAACTCAAATGTCCATCAGCTGGTGAAAGTGTAAACTGTGGTATATTTGTACAATAGAATACTGTGTAGCAAACTATGTAGCAATATAAAGGACCAAGCTACTGATACACACAAAAGCATGGATGAATCTCAAATATGTTATGCAAAGTGAAAGAAACCAGACTTAAAGGCTATATACAGTATGATTCCATTTATAAAACATTCTAGAAAAAGCAAAACTGTAGAAACAGAAAACAGACCAGCATTTCTAAGGGCCTGGGAGTTTAGAGGGAGGAGAGTGACTACAAAGGAGCACAGAGAACTTTTTGGGGTGATGTAAATGTTCTGTATCTTGACTGTAGTAGTGGCTACATGACTACACGTGTTTGTCAAAATTCATACAACTGTACAATGTAAGAAGGATTAATTTCAGTGTATGTAAATTATATTTTA